TGTATCATACTCGCATAGATGTTAAACAGTGCTCCAAATCCATTATAATCTACAGGAAGCAAACACAAATTTTCGTAAATTACGAACTGGCGACGTTTAGACTCGACAGTAAAGTTATTTAACTACCTGTTTAGTTTCTTTGATAGGCAAATGAAACGTCTGTCATAGCAAAATACTATGGTCTGTTTACTGGGTTGTCCATAATGAAAATTACATCCTGATTATCCTTTAAGGTGTGTGAATATTTGCGTACGTTTCAAAATTAACAATCTGTTGGATATGTTTCATGTATTGTGGCAGACATGCACTGTTTAATCTTTAGTAGGGATGGGATATGTTGCAAAATGCAAAAGAATCAACTAAAAAAGAAAGAAAGGAAAACACAGAGCGTGGTGACACAAATGTGCCCTTTTATTGAGAATGAGTGAATACACGTATCTGAAAAGTCATGATCCACGTTTACCTGCAGGTAGAAACAGCTCTTATACCTCTAAAACATGGTGTCAAATAATACACCTAAAACATGGAGACAATGATGTGCTAGGTTTACAAATGCATAGACCTATTGCAGAAAATGTCTCGACAAAATTGACTACTGCTTTCTGAGTTACAGTTGGTTTTTAAAAAAAATACTTTAGACCAAGACTCAGTGTTTCATGTTGAACATATCGCAAATACGCACTTCTTGACATGAATTTATAGTTGAAATACAGCAGAGTGTTCAAGGATTGTCCCTAGTTTTTTAGATTCACATGCATACTGCCTTTATACATTTACAATGTTCAGTGATTTGCTCTTGGCTTTATTGGAAAAGCAGTCAATGGGGTTTCTGGTGTAATTATGAGTCACTTCCTTCAGGAAATTTAGTGTTTCAGAGAAGGCCAAGAGGCTTTAGTTTTAACTTGAACCCATGAACAGAAGAATGTGTAACTTAGTTGATTTATTATACAAGGGTTCAATGGTTTCTATGCAGAACTGGTGAGGATACAAGTTTACAGATAAATTTCTCAGTTTACTGAATTGTCATATAATCATTTTATAATCACAAAATTATGTTTTTGAATTAATGTTAGATATGGAAATCATATGGAGCATTTATGGATGCATTTCAACATTCAAGATACTAGAAGGTGCCAAGTCTCACAGTTATTGGTTGATCAGATTGCCCGAAAAGTGTTATAAAAAAAAGTCCTAATCCAATACTGCACTAGGGCCTGATGGCATACAAAACTGGTATTGGAAACTGCTGCCCTGTGTCCAAACATCATTACTTCACTGTTTCAATTCTCTCGTGGATACAGGGGATGTTCCTCCATGGTTACTCCTTCCCAGGATACTTGAATGATCTTAAAAACTTTGCCCTATAATGTTTGAATGCACATCTTAAAATCTTCACAGGGTGTATGATAAACCTTGTGTTGGGAACAAGGAATGGATGTAGGGGGTGCAAGGATAAATCTATTGTATATAAAATGATGTGCTGGATTGACTTTAAAAAAGCACTCATCTCTGTCTCTCATGAATGGATTCTGAAGTCTCTTGATTGTATTGACCTCCCTAAGTGACCACCTCATTTACTCAAGTCTTTAATGAGTTGCTGGTTGACTCAACTTAAAGGTCACATGCCACCAAAAAATCAAACATAATTAAAACACAATTATCACTTATTCATGACATATAATATACATTGCTGGTTATGAAAAAACATATAAACAAAATTATAAGCATACAATCGCAAATCAAAAGTGCAATATTGTGTACTTGGGTTTACTTCCCAAGAAACGAAGCAGCCGGGATACCGAACCCAGTCAGAGCGGGTGGGTGTGCACTCAAGTGTAACGGATGGCTCATTTGCAGATGCCCTCACGGCTCATTGTGTGTGTATATAAAGAGATGTTGGGCTTTGTAAATACATACTCATTTTTTATGTATAACATGTTGCAATCAACAGACATCATAACATGTCATGTGTACAAGTATCACACCTGCCTGTCTGTGTAATTACATAATGTGACAGAGACCGAACTCGGGCCATAAATCAATGCGTTTTGTTTATGGTGTATAGCCTGATTGGTGTTAAGTTCAAATTGCATGTGGTCAGTGATAGCAGCTGTGTATTGAATATGGTCATTAGCAGACAGGCAGGCAGACACACAGGTGTCAATAAAACAAGTTACCAACTAAAATTGGATTATCGGGCATGCAGTTTTGGTTGATGCCATCATATCGGAAATTGCATAGACTGATGTACAGACCAACATCATACTGCTGGAAGATAAATGATGTCATTGTCCCCAACTGCAATGTCCGTACGTCCGTCCCGATTCTTGTTAATGCGATATCTCATGAACTGTTGTACCCAATGTCTTCAAATTTGGTGAAAGCCTACATTGGGGGATTATGCAGACATCAGTTGATTTGGGTCACCATGACCTTATTTTCAAAGTCGCCACAACACTTTGACCACTTTTCAAACTCTTTTCAACACGATTTCTCATGCATTATTGTACCCAATATCTTCAAATATGGTGACGGCTTACATTGGGGCGTTACGCTCACACCAGTCTATTTCGGTGACCTTGACCTTATTTTCACAGCAATACTTTCAACATTACTTTGACCACTTTTCAAACTTATGTAAACGCAATGTCTCATAAAACGTTGCACCCAACTTTGGCCTCCGAGCTGAAGAATATGTTGCCATTTCTTACAAATTTGATGTATCAGGGTAGGATAGGGTAGTAGGGGGTGGGGTACCCAGGTGGAACATTTGGACCCGTCCAGCCCTGTACACACTGATACTGGCAGTGGATATGTGCATCAGCATCTATATTCCTGAAATATCTTCAAAGTTAGGAACATATTTTGAGAAATGACCATGATTAAAAACTACATCACATGAACATGATAAAAGGTAATCTTCTACTTGACCAAAAGATAAAAACTAGTAATACGTTATGTTAGCGGCTGATGTGATATGAGGTGAGGTGAGGTGAAATTGGGTTTTACGTCGTGCTTGAGAATATTTCGCTCATATGACGACGTGCATGCATGTGTATGTGTATGTGCGGCTGCTTGTACTAGCCCAGACTTAAGCTGGTTTTATAGTGCTAGCCCACTGAGATACTATGCCGCAGTGAAGCATGAATACCCCACTCTGTCACATTATACTGACTCCGAGCCGACCAGTCCTTGTTGTACCCATTAATGCCGAGCCCCTGGCAGGGACCAACAAGTACCATATTTTAACGTCTTTTTGGTATGAACGCGTTCGGGGATCGAACCCGCGACCTTCCGCTCTCCGGGCGGATGCTCTAACCACTACACCACGGAGGCGGTTCTGATGTGATATGATTATAGTGGAAATGCCTTAAACTTTGTCATTATGAAATACAGAATCCTGGTATGTTAATCTTTTAGGAATGCAAACTCCTGTGAAGATATGGGTTAACATTGATCTTCTGCAACCAGTACTTGCAATAATAGGCAGCTAATGTAATCGGGTCATAAGGCTTACTTACTTGATTGACACATGTCATCATATCCCAACTGCGAAGATCAATGATCATACTGTCAGTTACTGGTTTCCCTGGTCCAGACATTGTTTATTTACAGATCACTGTCATATACTGTAAACGTAGTATATTTCGCGCAGGTTTTATTTTCGCGCTTTTCGCACAAAACATTTTAGCGCGAAAATTTATACACCGCGAATAAACCTGTCATTCATTCAGTCTAGCCACGTTCGCCCTGAGTTGTTACCATAACACATCACGTTTGAAGACAGAAATCTACGGGAATCTTTAAATGACGACTGATAGTAGCATAAAGAATCAAACTTAACTGTCGCTGTAATGGATTTCCAAAACATAATTATATAATGAGCCAAATCCCATCGCCGAATTAGCGAAAACAGCAATGTGTGTTGTGGCCGCCATGGAAATTGGTCACATGACAGATGGTTTGATGCAAAACAGATTACCATGAAACGACTCGGAAAGAAATAATACAGCAGTATTTATTCATTCATTTAGATACAAACGTATCATCATGAAGCGAATAGTCACTAACACTCAATCATCTCATTCACAACAACCCGGCTTGTTTGAAATCACAAAGAGCTTCATATACAGGATAAGTTAATTAGTCAGATCGTCAGAATTCGGAACATAATACTGATGTGTTTTTCATCTCTTCCGGGAGTAAACAGGCTACTGTGTACTAGTATATCGCACAGATAGGGATTTCCTGTGAGTAAGTAATAAACGCCACCTGACAGGTTAAGCCACTCTGTTTGTTTTCACTGCTATTAGTGGCGGCCAAAGAGACAGCTGGCAGTTCCGGCAATTACTGATTGAGCGAATAATTGACCGCGCGATGTAGTCAAAACTGTCAGTTCCGCGAAAATTGCACCACGCGAAAATAAGTACGTTTACAGTAGCTAGAATATTGCAGAGTAAGGTGTTAAGCAACAAACAAACAAAGCATCTGGCAAAACCAAAGGTAATGAGAGGAATGACTCTGGAAATGCATCATTCTGTGAACCTCTGGAAAACACTTGATATGATCTTACGTTGCATGCACTCATAACAAATTCAGGTTGGTTATAGAAACGTGTGGCTTCATTTTACTCCATGTTAGCGTTTCATGCAGAAATTAAAACTGTGTTCACATTGTGTTGTTTCAAAGCTTGTAATCAGCACCAAAATTGCTGCATTTGAGATAGCAAATGTTTTTAGACTGTATTTGCCCTTATGGACACTATGACTCAAGAAAGAAGCCAATAAAACTATTGACAAATGAGGCTAAACAATATTGGTACTGCATATTGTTTCTGCATGATATTTAGTGTCTTTTCTATATCTAAGTTTGTAAACACAGTTAATAATCAATGATAAACTTCAAATTTAGTAGCATTCTAATTAAAGTAGTATGTTTTTTCTGTTTTGGCTTAACATGTGCTTATAAATAATAACTATTTTTTGCATTCTGTTGTGCAGGTGATGTGAATGGTATTGAGATGCAGGTCATTCCCCAGACCCAGTTCATCCCTCTGCCAGATGCCCTGTGCTTGATCATAATGGATCTAAACAATCGACGGATTGTGGCCACATTGGATACAATTAAGGAAAAGCTTGTGGAATGGTACCGTGAGATGACAGTGCCCAATGATCAATTAATATTTGACACTCTAGGAGCTCTGATTAGAGAACGGAAGGTCTTCCACTCAGGTAATTTGTGTACTTTTTTTATGCAAAGGTATTTGGTTGGTACCGTTCTTGTACCTTTTGATGATCATGTGTTATAACTTTGTGTCTTGTTGAATTTTTTATGGTGTTGCTAAAGACAGTATCTTGTGTGTGGTCACACTCAGTGGTGCAGAATCTTGTTTATCTTGTGTATGACCCCTCGTTGGGGCAGTATCTTGCATTTGGCCACTCTTGCTGGCACAGTATCAGGTTTGTGGTTAATCATTGGTGTTTTATCTTGTGTATGACCCCTCGTTGGAGCAATATCTTGTGTGTGGCCACTCTTGCTGGCACAGTATCAGGTTTGTGGTTAATCATTGGTGTTTTGTCTTGTGTATGACCCCTCGTTGGGGCAATATCTTGTGTGTGGCCACTCTTGCTGGCACAGTATCAGGTTTGTGGTTAATCATTGGTGTTTTATCTTGTGTATGACCCCTTGTTTGGGGCAATATCTTGTGTGTGGCCACTCCTGCTGGCACAGTATCAGGTTTGTGGTTAATCATTGGTGTTTTATCTTGTGTATGACCCCTTGTTTGGGGCAATATCTTGTGTGTGGCCACTCTTGCTGGCACAGTATCAGGTTTGTGGTTAATCATTGGTGTTTTATCTTGTGTATGACCCCTCGTTGGAGCAATATCTTGTGTGTGGAGCAATATCAGGTTTGTGGTTAATCATTGGTGTTTTATCTTGTGTATGACCCTCGTTGGAGCAATATCTTGTGTGTGGCCACTCTTGCTGGCACAGTATCAGGTTTGTGGTTAATCATTGGTGTTTTATCTTGTGTATGACCCTCGTTGGAGCAATATCTTGTGTGTGGCCACTCTTGCTGGCACAGTATCAGGTTTGTGGTTAATCATTGGTGTTTTATCTTGTGTATGACCCCTCGTTGGAGCAATATCTTGTGTGTGGCCACTCTTGCTGGCACAGTATCAGGTTTGTGGTTAATCATTGGTGTTTTATCTTGTGTATGACCCCTCGTTGGAGCAATATCTTGTGTGTGGCCACTCTTGCTGGCTCAGTATCAGGTTTGTGGTTAATCATTGGTGTTTTATCTTGTGTATGACCGCTCGTTGGAGCAATATCTTGTGTGTGGCCACTCTTGCTGGCTCAGTATCAGGTTTGTGGTTAATCATTGGTGTTTTATCTTGTGTATGACCGCTCGTTGGAGCAATATCTTGTGTGTGGCCACACTCGCTGGCACAGTATCAGGTTTGTGGTTAATCATTGGTGTTTTATCTTGTGTATGACCGCTCGTTGGAGCAATATCTTGTGTGTTGCCACACTCGCTGGCACAGTATCAGGCATGTTGTCAGTCACATGTGCTTCATCTTCAGTATCTTGTGTTTGTGTCACACCCAGCAACTGAAAGTGAAATGAGCTTATATCCAAGCTCATTGTACATTAACCTCCCTTACAAAGGTTACAAATCGTGAATTATATCTATATGTGATCTCTGCATCCCATGGTTAGTTTTGTATCATGAACTGTGGTTGTGCAAATATGTGATCTGGACGACCAGATGTAGGACATGCATTTTTGTGGAAGCCTTGGTGGCTGAGTGGGTTAGATAGTAAAATACCAAGCAGACTCAGGCTCTCAAATGGCATTGTTCTGGAAAAACAAATGCAACACTAAAATCCTAGAAATATATGACTGAAATATGTCAATCCTACCCAGTGCAGGTGATGCATATTTACGTTATCAGTTATCTTATGACTTCACGTTACAAGAAAATGAAATGCATAAACATGCAAAATACCAAAAGTATAAACACGTCAGAATGAAATTGTGCCTTATCATTGCTTTTGAAGTCAGTTTGAGCAACATCAGTACAGTAAATACCATGCTGCCATAAACATATTGTTAATACAATATGTTTGGTGAATGTAGCAAGCATTGTTGGCAATAGTTGAAGTGAACTGCAAGTAATGCAGTTTTGAAAAACACAATTAGTCCCAAGACATGGTCTTCTAAGATTCCATTTCTGATGGCTGCATCTGAGAGTATTGATAATTCTTCAATTCAATGTTGATTATGGACAGTAGCTGTCAAATCTGCAAATATTAATCTGTTATTGCTCAATATCAGAGTGGAATGATAGTGAAGAATCCATAATTTTACTTTGATCTCACCATTGGCATGAAGATATTTCCATTCATTGCCTCTGATTCTAAACAATAAGCTGGGTTTTTTCTCTCGTTACTTCTTTTGAGGTATTTTATTAGGTATTGATCTGACTTTTAGAGGGAGCCATTCTGTGATCTAATTGTGGACCTATTGTACAGATGTATACCAACTGTAAATTTCTTTTTTGACTATAAACATTATTAATTCTATTTGTTTTCCAGCTAAGCTTGGGTTATGATGTCATCAAACGCAATTAAGAGTTTTTGAATTGATAATAGCTTTGTGGAGTTTTTATAGTCCTCATGCATGAAACACTAGCAGGTCAATAATGCTGAATAATCAACAGCATCATTGAAGGGGTTTGTTTGTTTTAAGAGAGCAGTTTTCAAGCTAAGAATTATGAGTGGGTAATTGATAGCAGAGACTGAAGCTGTGGCTGGTCCTACAGCTCTTCTAGCTGCTTTTGGATTTCCTGGTTCATTAGCTGTCAGAAGCAGTTGGCCCTACAGATATCTCTCTTGCACCAGGGAGAAACTAAAAGCTAAAGGGATATTTTGTTTTGATGTACTGTCTAAAGTCTGTCTTTTATAAACCTTTACACTTTCATCATTTACACTTTCATCACCTATCTGAAACAATTGTCATATTGTAAGTGGCAATTTGGTCCAGTACTGTAAGTATTAGTAATGGGCAGTAACTATTTGTTGTTTAACAGTACTGTCAACAGTATTGCCAACATTCTGAGAGAGAGATACGGGAATAAGGGAATGCATCATCATTTCATACCCCTCTTATAGCCAAGCTGAGATTTCATGGGATGGCCAAGTAGTCACTCTGTCAATGGACTAACGTGCCTATTTGCCTGTGCATTCACACCTTTGTCTCTTCTTGACAAGGTGATATGAACGATAAGGTCTAACAGTGTACACAGTCATACTGACAGCTCAAATTTGGCCCCCAGCAGACCATGGTTTCTTTGTCTCAAATGCCCACATGTGGTAGACCCTTTTCGATTACCACTTTGATGGGTTCTTCTGTGACAACCCTAATTTGCAAAATCTACAAAATATTTGAGAGCCTTTATCCCTTCTCTGCAATGATAGTTGCAGTTTTTCCAGTGAAGAAAACACAGGAGATTAAGTCTTTCCGACCCGGTGGTTGCTGATTTCTTAGTATATCTCTGTTGAGATAACATATTTCGGCATGTGACTATTGAACATTATCCATCTGCATTTTGTTCTCTTCCTCAACATGGCAGTTTCTCCATAAATGTGTTCTTTTTGGCCAGAAGATAGTCTCATTTCAAGGCTATTCATCTGCCTTCTTGGGAGAATCATATAAGGCTTTGGCAAAGGCAATGCTACCCAAAAAAATCTAGGAAAGACAAGTTTCTCAAAACAATGTCTACAGCTACTGGAGCCTCACAATTCCCTCCCTGACTTTTAGTTCAGAAGCAGTCTGCTTCTATGGGTCCTTTTGGGTCATCAGAATATATTGCTATTCTGGTATTAGGAGAAATATTTAATATTTCCTATGTCCAGTGAGGGCAGTGAAATTATATCTGGCTGATACAAACCCTCTTGGACTTTGAAGGAAGCGATTGTATATCTTTTGAAAGACTATGTCTGATTGTGATAGTACAAAAGCTTGGGCTGCAATGTGTCTGAAATTAACCTTAGCTTTTACTTGTTAGCATCTACAGAACTCAACTGGTTTTTTTTGGCCAAGCAGGTATTTGCAGGATGCCAACAATTTCAAATAACACCTTCACACAATTTTACTTAAGTGATTCACAGCTAGATCTCCTGGATGATGGTGTATGTTTGCTGACCAATCCAGTGTTTGCTCATGATGTAGTCACCCTTTTCAACAGGAAAACAGGGCGTGGTTGCAAGGACCTTTCAAGCTTTTTCTGAAGGTATAAACACCTCTATTTATTTACTTCTGAAACAATAAGAAGTTATAATGAATTACCCAACCAAAAGGGATGTCACAATCAGAAGAGAAATGAGACCAGAAGTGACATCATAAATGATACATTACAGGTTAGAATACAACCAGAAGTGACACCACTGTCATGACTTGATGTGATGTCATTTAGACCAGATATGTCGAACATTGTGGGTCCAGAAGTGACATATACCTGATAGGCAAGGGTGAAGAATTAACATCAAAAGTATGGCATTTGCATATTTAAGTGATGGCTTTTAGGAATACAAGATACACATCATTTAGAATATCAAAAATATAATGGTAATTCTTGTGAAGGTTTGATTATTCTAGAAATAGTCCATTTGAGGAAAATAGTTGAAGTTACCTCCTTGGTATATTCTGGCAATAACAAAATAGAGGCAGAAGGTTTGTTATGATTTGTCAAACAATAATTATCATTGTAAATAATTCATAAAATACTATGTCTAATACATCTGAAGTACTGTCCCCCATGCCTCCAATCATCTTCTCTGTCTCATTCGAGAGATGTTGGAATTAAGTGAGGTTTACCTGCCTTTACACATAGAAGGGCTGTGAGCTAATGTTGCTATTGTGAGAACAATAAGTTGTGTGAAGTTTAAAATTTGAACTTTCATTTTCGTGTGATGGCAGCCAAAATACAGGATTTATGGTTAATAATAGAGTTGTAATAGTATTCTTAGAACAAGTAACAGTAATAAGTATGGTTGAATACATATTTTATATAACACATAGCGAAGCAGCAACTTCTTTCAGAATATATTAGGATAATATTTAGTGATAATTGATACTGATATAAAACAGGGCAAAATGGTCAACAACTAAGTAGTTTTGCAAGAGACAAAAGTCAACTGACCTTGTCATGATTCAATCAAGTGATGATT